TTAATGGTGTGTAAACTCGTCGATGGGGTACATGGGCTCCAGTTTCCAATCGGATCAAACGGCGTATGAACCCACATGGGTCACCGGCAACCATGAAAATGCAGCTCCTGACGCTGCTCCGCTGCCTTGCGGATTAGACTCCAAGTCAAAGGCTCGGGGGGTGGTCCCTTAATAAAGCCACCTGCTTCGGTCTGGGCGCCCGGGCAGTATCTCAGCCCGCGCACAATGAATGAATTAAAGCAACGAACTCTCATTGAAACTCAACGCGCGCTATTAACAATGATTCCAAGTAACATTGATCCCTCATGTAACTTATGTGCTACCTATTTTACTTTTATTTTTATACATAGTTTCCTGTATTGTACCTTTTCTAACCTTGGCTTCTTAACCTTCGACAGCCTTTCGCCTTTGTCGAGATTCCCAGCCTATCCGTGTCGTTTCGAGATGTTAGTGAGTAGTCCTCAAAATGGTTGTTCCCAATGTGACATCTAACACGGATATCCTGAAACCGCGTGCTGCGTTCAAGCTGGCTACCTACAATGTTCGGACGCTGATGCAAATCGGACAACAGGCAGGGTTGGCAAGAACTTTGGAAAGCCTCGCTATCGATGTCTGCTGCATTTCGGAGACCCGCATTCAAGATCCCAGTGAAGTGCTTCGACTATCCTCTCCATCTGGAAGTTCTAGTAGTATGTACCACCTGCGCTTATCCGGGGACCCTGTGGCGTCGGTTTTCATCCGGTTGGTGTCGGTGTCGCACTGAGCGCTAGAGCCGAAGCTGCACTGCTCGACTGGATTCCCATTAACAGTCGTTTATGTGCTGTGAGGCTGGAAGGTTACACGAAAGTAAAGAGTAGTAGGCCAGATAGGCGGTGTCTATTTGTTGTCTCTGCCTATGCACCGACGGATTGCAGCCCGGATGCAATGAAGGATGAGTTTTACTACCAACTGAGCGATCTCTTGAAACAGGCGGGTCGGAGGGATATCGTAGTGCTGGCTGGGGACTTGAATGCACAGGTGGGGCGTCTAAGCTCAGAGGAGAATCGTCTAGGTGGTCAGTGGGGACTACATGGTCGCAGGTCAGATAATGGGGACCGTCTTCTGCAGCTTTGCGCGGATCACAACCTATTTCTAGCTAGCACCAACTTCCGGCACAGCCATCGCCGTAGCGCTACCTGGCGTCCTCCCTCTGCGAAGCAAGCTTGGACTCAGATTGATCATATCGCGGTCAGTTTCCGGTGGCGGGGATGCATACAAGACTGTCGCTCCTTCTGGAGCACATGCCTGGACTCCGATCATGCGTTAGTGTGTGCCAAGTTCGTCTTGCGATTTGGTGGGGTTCGTAAAAGCCGTCGTCTAAGCGTTGATGTGAGCAAACTAGTAGCACCTGCTACTTCTTTGAAATATCAGAATGAGTTAAAAACAATGCTTGCCAGCAACCCCCCAAGTAGTATAGATGAACATTGGCTTCATGTGCAAGGTGCCATGCAAAAGGCGAGTGTAGCCGCTTGCGGCTTGAAAGAATGCTCCGCTAACAACCACTGGGTTTCTGCGAGTTCCTTGCAACTCATGGATGAACGCCGGTCCATTCCGGCTGGCAGCGAATACAACAATCAGCGAAAGGCGCTCACGCGCAAGATTAGACAGTGTTTACGTAAGGACCGCGAAGCCTGGTGGTCAGAACGTGCGTGTGAGATGGAGTCAGCTGCTGCATCTGGCAACAGTCGGAAGCTGTTCCAACTCATACGAGCCACCGGCAGCAAGAAACAAGGTGTCAGCGAGACGGTCTGTGAGGCAGATGGCACTCCAATTACCAGCCTGAAAAGACGCCTGGAACGCTGGGCAGAGCACTTCGGGAAGCAGTTCAGCTGGCCACCAGCTTCAGTGTCTACTATCATTAGCCCGAGTGCTCCTTGGTCGGTTAGTACCGACCCACCCACCGAAGCGGAGGTCCGTAAGGAACTCCAAGTTCTGAAACGCCATAAGGCGCCCGGCCCAGACAAATTACCCCCGGCTCTTTTTAAAGATGGTGGCGAGACTCTCACAATGGCTCTAACTGGGTTGTTCAGGAAGGTGTGGGAGACAGAGAGTGTACCATCAATGTGGAACGAAGCCATTATCGTCCCCATCTTTAAAAAGGGTCGACGTAATTCGTGTGACAATCATAGGGGTATCAGTCTGTTACCAGTCGCGTCTAAAATATTGGCTGCTGTCTTGCTTCGCAGACTGTGCAAAATACGTGAAGGATTGATTCGCGAAGAGCAGGCTGGGTTTCGTTCAGGTCGTGGATGCATTGATCAGGTGTTCACCCTTCGTCAGTTGTTGGAACACCGCCACACGTATTGCAGGCCAACGATCGTTGTGTTTCTTGATATTAGGGCTGCCTTCGATTCGTTGGACAGAACTGTGCTCTGGAACTGTCTGTTAGAGAGAGGTGTACCTGAGAAATTTGTTAACATCCTGAAAGCCCTATACAGAAACACCTCAGGTAGAGTGAGGGCATACAACCAACTATCACCACTGTTCCCAACCAACAGTGGGGTTAGACAGGGTTGCCCAATCTCTCCGTTTCTCTTTAACTTTGCCATCGATGACATTCTGGAGTCAGCTCTGAAGGATGTGCGTGAAGGTGGTGTAGATCTGCTACCTGGAGATAGACTTTTCGACCTCGAGTATGCAGACGATATCGTCTTACTGTGCGATAGCATGCAGGCTGCCCAAATCGCACTTAATCAGTTGGCGATCAGTGTCTGTAAGTATGGTATGTGCTTTGCGCCGTCTAAGTGCAAAGTACTGTTACAAGATTGGCAGGAGCCTGTACCTGCACTCACTCTTGCGGGTGAACCGCTTGAAGTTGTTGATAAGTTTGTGTACCTGGGTAGTTGTGTGAGTGCTGGCGGAGGGGTGACGGATGAGATTTCCAACCGTATAATGAAGGCTAGGGTGGCATACATCAACTTGAGCCACCTCTGGCGCCGTCGCGACGTTAGCCTGGCTGTCAAAGGTCGGGTATACAATGCTTCGGTGCGAGCTGTTGCTCTACGCCTGTGAAACCTGGCCTCTCCGAGCTGAGGATGTGCGGCGACTCTGCGTGTTCGATCACCGCTGTCTCCGCAGGATTGCTTGCGTTCGATGGCATCATCGCGTGAGTAATTCTGAGGTTCGGCGGCGTGTGTTTGAACAAAGTGGAGATCACTATTCCTTGAATGTCGTCATCTGGAAACACCGGCTCCGGTGGCTTGGACATGTGCTCCGAATGTCACCCCAGAGGCTTCCGTACAGGTCTCTGTTCGCTAGCCCTGGGACGGGATGGAAAAGGCGGAGAGGTGGTCAGTCCATGACGTGGCGTCGTGGGATGAAGGATTTTTGTGCTAGATTAGCATCGGTTGGTGTGTCACGACTCCCTGGTTGGGGTCCGAGAGATAGCTCAAATCGATGGCTCGAAACGTTATCGGATATGGCCAAGAATCGTAATCAGTGGCGAATGTGTTGTGATTTCCTTCTTTCTTCCCTTCCCGATGATAGCTAACGAACACTGTTTGAACTTGTTAAGCATGACTGTTTTCCTTCCAGATGAAGTTCTTTATCCGTTCTCTACTTATATATATTTTTTCTTTTCCTTCCTTTTTTTTTTGATCTATGTTGTTTTATTATTATTGTGTGGCGCATCTTTCTTGGTGCCATATTGTACCAAGTTTTTTTTATGCGTTTAAATAATAATAATAAACTCGTCGAGAAATCTGAAAGCTCACTTCAAATTGAAGTTTGGGCGCTGAAGATGTTGCCCGCCTAGTGTAGGGCTATGGAAGCTTTGCAAATTTGCCATGCAGTTGAAAGAACACAACCACATCAAAATCCTGCGTGACTCTAAAACAATGCAAAAGTCCTGTCAACAGGTTGGCAAGTCAATTTTTTCAACGATTGTAACACTGTGAGAAAAATGGTTTACACATACCAGAGCTTACAAATGTCGGTCAATCGAGTCACACACACACATCCTTAAAATAAAATTCAAACCCCAGAGTGAAGTGTAGACGTAGAATGCTGAAGACTGTCAGTAGGGTGAGTGGTGTCCCAGTGGACCACATAGTTAACGTCATTGTCAATAGCCACTTAACTTCGTGCAATAAATTTGCTAGAGGGGTTTTGTCTGACTTGGAGCATCCACTTTACCCTCAGCTTCCTTTCACCTTGCATCTCCTTCTCAGGTTGAACAAGGAGTAACTTCAGAAAACTGTATGCTTGCACGTCTAAGTATAAAAATTCTATGATACCATACTTGGAACGTATTTTATGTGATGAAATTAGTGTCAGTCAAGAATTAACTAACCTTTTTTCATCTAGTAAATAAACAATTTCCTCCATCCATCCATCCTTATATACCTTCAAGTTTTACTTTTATCACTTCTATTATATTTATGGTCCTGTTGCTTCTTCGTTTGTTTTACTCTCATAATTGCAAACACCAACTTATCTCCATGACTGCTGTAATCTTTGTTTTTCCCTTCACCATATCATGTAAAGAGAACATTATATTCAATATTTTTAAACATATTAGGATTTCTATACCACATTGCCAATACTGTGTGACACAAGCCAACGGCAATTTTCACTTGTATTATTATTATTATTACCCTAGCTGTTATCATTATTATTGCTATTTCCATTTTATATGCTGCATGTTTTTGACACTACCTCTATTGTAAATGTGGAAAATTTTCTGTGTGATTAATTTTACTTCTTTGTAATTTGAGGAAATTAGATGCAATATTTTGTGTGAATATTGCTGAAAATTCCATTCTGTATCACAAGTACTGTTTTTGGAATAAAGTAAATTATTATTATTATTAGACCTGAGCACGGGTTTGTCCTGCTTTTATTATTAAGCGAGATTTAGCTTTCCGACCATTTTGATCTCTTTCATTTAATCCAACACAAACGCGTATTTAAAAGTGAAGTGAAATGTATTTTCTCTATGTTTTATTTTTCTTTCTGTCTAGGTGAGATCGCCTTACTTCTTGATCGACCACGTGCTGCCACTGTTGTTGCTCAAGGTCCACTGCGTTGTGTCAAACTTGATCGTAAACGATTTGAACGTGTCATGGGTCCTTGTTCAGATATACTCAAGAGAAATATCGCGAAATACAACAGTTATATTTCCCTGAGTGTTTGAAATAACTAAGGGGGTTGTGTTGTTTTCACAGGATTTCATGCAAATGGTGAAATTTTTGATCCAATTGTAAATGTGAAAAGACACACACACACACAAGTCAATCTGCAATTCAGAAAGAGTTGTCAACCTTGTACTAGTCTCAACTCTTATTTTGCTTTTCGAGGGGGTTATTGTTGTTGTGGTTGGTGATGATGTACATGGACATTTGATTTGTTGATTTTTTCAAATAGACACATTGTGGAAACACTTGGTTACTTATTTATTTATTAATTGGTGTGCTGTTTGTTGCAGACAATTTTTGCGGGAATAATACTGGGCTATTTGCGTTTACATGAGATATCAAGATTACCTGTCATTATGGATAAGGCTTTATTTATTTTGATAAACTGTCACACATACTGTGTAGTGTGTGTTATACAGTAATATTAACTGATCCGACCACACGCCATTTGGAGCACAATTTATTATTGCCACTCATAATCACCATATCAAGTCACTCATGTGTATATAAATGAAGGAAACAAGAAAGTTGTGTGAGTGAGTGACTTGATATGGTGATTATGAGTGGCAATAATAAATTGTGCTCCAAATGGCGTGTGGTCGGATCAGTTAATATTACTGTATAACACACACTACACAGTATGTGTGACAGTTTATCAAAATAAATAAAGCCTTATCCATAATGACAGGTAATCTTGATATCTCATGTAAACGCAAATAGCCCAGTATTAATCCCACAAAAATCGATTCGTTTGTCCACCAATCACGTCCCCAAGAGGGATGATTAATAAACTCGTGGAGAAACCTAAAAGCTCACTTCAAATTGAAGTATGCGCTGAAGATGTCACCCAGTAGGGCGATGAAAGCTTCGCAAACTAACCATCCAGCTCAGAGAACAAAACCACATCAAAATATTCGCGATTGTACAGCTATGAAAATGAATTCGCCGCCGAAAAGAGACTCTTCGCTGAACTACTTGTCTTTTGTTTATTTTCTTTATCTGGCTTCCCTTACCAAGTTAGTACTTTAGGAAGGAAGTGGAAATGACCACTAAGCCACCCACTCTTGGGTACTCTTTGCGTTTTTCAGTCCTCTGTGGTGTAAGCATGGGTAATGTAAACGATTTCTGCTCTATTAACAGCAACCATTTAGTAGTCGAAGTTAAATGTCTAGTTTAGTAATAAATAAACTGTCACTGGGCTATGAATTCGATCGAATTATGGTGTCCTAGCACCAGTGAAATCAAGCATCATCATTACCAATATGCTCCTCCAATAAATCTGTGTAAAATGTGATCTTACAACCAACAGATACATGATTCATTCGAGATGCTACATTGTAACTTGGAATACATGAGATAGTGCATATCAACAATGATACTTCATGGCACCCCCCCACCCCCCTTAGCCAACCTGTCTAATTTCCATCCAGTTTGTATTGGTAGATTGTAATGAGTATAATCCAACTGGTATGGTTTTAAAGCATATGAACTTGTCATATTAATAATAATAATAATGGCTTTATTTTGAACAGTGATTTTACGATGTATAGAATTTTCCGCGGAGTTTATTGCATCATCATATTTCCTCTTCGTCCACGATCTTGAAATGAAACATCAGCCGACTGACAGCAGATCGTGTGACACAGTTCTATTGTGATGAGAGCAGGCCGTGAGAAAATATGAGCGAGGCTGATTCAACAACCAATCACAGCAAAGTTAACGTGGCAAAATATGATTCGCAGATAGAGAACTCTATTTGTCGAGGAATCCCGAAACAACCAATCAGAAGCCTGCGTTTGTCTGCCTAACTTCTGATAAACAACCAATCAGATAACTGCGCTTGTCTACTTGCATAAGCTATAATAATGTATGTGAAATATGTATAAATACGTGCTGATTTTCATAATAAAACGATCTGTTGCCTGGCCCTTGTCTTCTGTTGTTACATTTGGTGTCGCTGCCTACCGACAAATGGAAAGCCTATGCCCTGCTGTTTTTGATGGAGACATATGGATCTTCGGGCAGGACTTCAAGGCTTCTGCGCAGTTGAGTGGCGTTCAAGATCTGTCAGCGATGGAGCTGCTACTTGGGACGCTGCTGGGAGGTCGGGTGAAAGCAGCATATGAAAGTGTGAGACGAAATACTGACGAATGTTCGACAGGGTCAGGCAAACAGTTTCCAAAGTGGGAAGGACCACATATGGTCACTTCGAGATGGGATTACGCGGACACAATCGCAATGGCGAACAATGAGAGGCGCGTGAACGTCAGCGAGCTCCAGAAATGGATACAGCGAGACAAGCCAACGATGACGCCTGCACCAAGTAGATCAAGCGGACTTCAGTCGCACGTATTTGACGGGGGGACGAGTGTGATGAGAGCAGGCCGTGAGAAAATATGAGCGAGGCTGATTCAACAACCAATCACAGCAAAGTTAACGTGGCAAAATATGATTCGCAGATAGAGAACTCTATTTGTCGAGGAATCCCGAAACAACCAATCAGAAGCCTGCGTTTGTCTGCCTAACTTCTGATAAACAACCAATCAGATAACTGCGCTTGTCTACTTGCATAAGCTATAATAATGTATGTGAAATATGTATAAATACGTGCTGATTTTCATAATAAAACGATCTGTTGCCTGGCCCTTGTCTTCTGTTGTTACATTTGGTGTCGCTGCCTACCGACAAATGGAAAGCCTATGCCCTGCTGTTTTTGATGGAGACATATGGATCTTCGGGCAGGACTTCAAGGCTTCTGCGCAGTTGAGTGGCGTTCAAGATCTGTCAGCGATGGAGCTGCTACTTGGGACGCTGCTGGGAGGTCGGGTGAAAGCAGCATATGAAAGTGTGAGACGAAATACTGACGAATGTTCGACAGGGTCAGGCAAACAGTTTCCAAAGTGGGAAGGACCACATATGGTCACTTCGAGATGGGATTACGCGGACACAATCGCAATGGCGAACAATGAGAGGCGCGTGAACGTCAGCGAGCTCCAGAAATGGATACAGCGAGACAAGCCAACGATGACGCCTGCACCAAGTAGATCAAGCGGACTTCAGTCGCACGTATTTGACGGGGGGACGAGTGTGATGAGAGCAGGCCGTGAGAAAATATGAGCGAGGCTGATTCAACAACCAATCACAGCAAAGTTAACGTGGCAAAATATGATTCGCAGATAGAGAACTCTATTTGTCGAGGAATCCCGAAACAACCAATCAGAAGCCTGCGTTTGTCTGCCTAACTTCTGATAAACAACCAATCAGATGACTGCGCTTGTCTACTTGCATAAGCTATAATAATGTATGTGAAATATGTATAAATACGTGTTGATTTTCATAATAAAACGATCTGTTGCCTGGCCCTTGTCTTCTGTTGTTACACTATCAATCTGAACTGAAGTGCAAACTAATCCATCATGATGATATCTCTTCTTCGAGAAAAACACGACAACCGATGTACGTGGCTCCACAGCAACAGGTGAACTGATATATATACACTGAACTACTTATCTTTTGTCTACTAATGTTCGAATGGGAATTATTCATGAATTATTTTTGCATCAAACTCTGTATTCTCTTCCCACAATCGTTAATAATTTTGCATCTCTCAACAGACGTAATAGTTTATTCTCCATTGGGTCTAGTAAGGTGGTGTTAACAGTGAGTAGTCTGGTCAACTGTTTAGGTGGGCCATGAGGAGTCAACAGGTAATATCGTCAAAGCTTTTGGTACAGGACAGCACTATATAGATGACTAAATTAAAATCATCAAAATGCTTGTTGCTGGTTGAAGGCGACAGAAAACGCGTTCCAAGTCGTTGAAAGCAGTTCAACTTACTTACTAGTTTGTTATACTCTATCGCTCAGTATTTTCTAGGTTTCTCTCTTTGATTATGACAGTTAGTTTAACCAAAAATTTTCGCGGTTTTCAATTAATGATTTTGTTATCTGAAAACGGTACAATCAGAATGGGGTAATGCAGGATCAGATCCGATAAGTGATTATGACCTGGCGGCCTGTCCGAATTTTTGGGCCAGCTATTATACTATCTACATACTGCATCCAATCTACCGTTTAGGCAAATTTATTTATCACTTAAATATGAATTCTGACGAGATCAACTACTCTCGTAACTTTATTAATCATTGAAGACCAAATGACTTTCATATTCCCAAGAAATCGAGTAGGAAGCATCGTAGTGGCTGTCGCGACGTTAGCCTGTCTGTCAAAGATCGGGTATACAATACTTCGGTGCGAGCTGTTTTGCTCTACGCCTGTGAAACCTCGCCTCTCCGAGTAGGCTGAGAATGTCCGGCGACTCTGCGTGTTCGATCACCGCTGTCTCCACAAGATTGCTTGCTTTCAAAGGCTGGCATCATCGCATCAGTAATTCTGAGATTCGGAAGCGTGTGTGTGTTTGAACACAGTGGAGATCACCATTCATTGAGTGTTGTCGTCATCTGGAAACACCAGCTCCGGTGGCTTGGACATGTGCTGAGAATGTCATCCCACAGGCTTCCGTACAGGTCTCTGTTCGCTAGCCAACCCTGGGACAGGATAGAAAAGGCGGAGGGGTGGTCTGTCCATGACGATGTGGCGTCGTGGGATGAAGGATTTTTGTGCTAGATTAGCGTCATCGGTTGGTGTGTCACGACTCCCTAATTGGGGTCCGTGAGGTAGCTCGAATCGATGGCTCGAAACGTTATTGGATATGGCCAGGAATCGCAGTCATCAATGGCGAACGTGTTGCAATTTCCTTCTTTCTTCCCTTCCCGATGATAGTTGACAAATACTGTTTGAACTTGTTAAGTAGTATGACTGTTTTCCTTCCAGATGAAGTTCTTTATCCGTTCTCTACTAATATATTTTTTAAAACTTTGAATCTATGCTGTTTTATTATTATTATTATTGTGTGACGCATCTTTCTTGGTGCCATATTGTACTGAGTGTTTTCTGCGTTTAAATAAATAAATAAGTGGTTGGCAAAGCGCTCTCAAACGCATACCAATACACTTAACTACGGTGTCTGTCATAATGGACACAAACTGCCGCTCTCTGCCTAACAAGATAATGTACCTACAATCTCTGATGTCCACTGACACAAGGAAATAAGCCTTGGAGTAAAGTATGCTCTGTAGAATTAGCGGAAATGCACAAGTCTGTCCAAACCCCTGCTCCTCCAGTGATTTAACGAATGGAAGATAGCATATGCAAGCATGAGGATATCCGAAACGCTGCGAGAGTTT